GAAGGACCTATCAATCATTTTGTTGGGAAACCTTTGGACAAACAGTTGGAGCTATTTGGATCACACAAATGGTTATTTGACTGTCAATATCCAAAGACAACAAATCCAGCACAGCCCTGGCCAGTGGCTCAATTGGTTGGAGCATCACAAATTGTATTTTAATATCCTGCAATAAGTGCCATGGAGAAAAACAAGACAAGAGGAGACCAGGGTTAGGACCATGCTGTTTTTATGTGGGGTGATCCAGGAAGGCTTCTCCAAGGAGACATTTGAACAGGTCCAAACCAAGCAAGCAGGTGAACCCCTGGGGGCGGTTTCGATTCAATTCCCGTCAGGGCACACACCCAGGTTGTGGGTCCAATTCCTCCCGACTGCACTGCGGGGGCAATCAATAGATATTGCTCTCTCTCTCTCTCCTCCTTCCTCTTCTCTCTCTCTCTCTCTCTCTCTCAGAGTGTTCCAGGCAGAGGAGACAGCAAATCCAAGGTCCTTGTGTGACTTCCTCCCTGAGAGGGTCTTCCTCATTAAACTCACCGAGGTGTTGGTGGTACCTGGCAGCAGGGACTTTAACATGTGGAACAGATGGATGAATGATAGTTACTCTTCCCACCCAGCTTTTGGCATTTGTTTCTTCTTTTATCTGGAATGTCCTTTCTACCTACCAAGTACCTCCCTTTTTTTTAAACATCCCCCCAATTTGGCAACATTGTTAAGCCTGTCTGGCTTGAGCCCCTGGCCTCAGCACAATCCCAGGCTGTGGCCAAGGCACCTTTGGGCACTGCAAGAGTGGGTGTAGTGAGGTCACTCTTGGGTGGGCTCCTGAGACGATGAGCACTCCCACTTTGAGACCAAGAGGCAACTGCACATTATAAAACAACGTGATCCCATGTTTGGATCAAGCTCCTTTCTCCGCCAGCCCCCAGGGGAAAGAGGCAATCTGCCCTTTCCAACTGCCCCCTTCAGTACCTGTACACAGAAGAGCCTGTGGGTGTTCATTTTACAGGATTCCTAATTGTGGCAACTGAGCACATTTGCCATGTATGTCTAGCAGCTCCTGTGAGGACAGCCTTTATTACATACTAGAGGCCTGGTGCACGAAATGTGTGCACTGGGGTGGGGGGTTCCCTCAGCCCGGCCTGCACCCTCTCGCAGTCCAGGAGCCCTTGGGGGATATCCGACTGACAGCTTAGTCGGACATCCTTAGAACTGCTGTGGAGGTGGGAGAGGCCCCCGCCACCACCACTGTGTTGCCAGCCTTGAGCCCAGCTTCTGGCTGAGCAGTACTTCCCCTGTGGGAGCGCACTGACCACCAGGGGGCAGCTCCTGTGTTGAGCATCTGCCCCCTGGTGGTCAGTGCGCGTCATAGCGACCAGTGGTTCCACTGTTCGGTTGATTTGCATTAGCCTTTTATTATATAGGATATATTTAAAATTACATTGCTGCTGCTTTTTCACTGTGAAACAATCCCAGAATACTTGTCTCTTGTACTCACATAGTGACAGCCAATCACAATCACTTCTATTTCTGACAGGTACCGAATACTGACGACTTAAATAGGGAAATTGTAGACGCACCAAGATTTCATATTTCATTTTTTTATTACCAATCAAAAATAAATTCCATATATTGTTTAGCAAATATTATCATTGTTTTGTGACAAAAGACACAAGAGTCATAACAACAAAACTCCCCGAGAGTCAAACTCATAACAATGCCAAAATAAATCACAAATATATACAAATTAAAACCTTATGCAAAATAAATATGTTACTTGCTATGGTGGCTGTGACTTGCCTACCCATTTGGAGGCCATCCCTCACACAGGAAGACAGGTAGGGATGGGCCAATTCCAGGGTAGAGCTCAGCCCAGGAACCAGAAGTTGGAATAGGAAGTGAAAAATTGCACTGGGAGGAGGAAGTCATCGGACCAGTAATATTTGGAAATAATTACGACCCTTTGCAAGAAGTGATTATAAATGGGGAAGGGAAGGGAAGAACGGGGGAGGAGGGAACTGTTGGTAGTAACCGTGTGTGCAAAGAGGTAGCGTGGAAGTGTGCGTACCCGCTTTATTCACACACACTCACTTGGTTCAGGCCAATGTGCTTGGCCCTGCCTGGCTCCCAGGTCTCAAAAACACAGCTTTGCAAGCTTCCATGTGGACTCAGAAAGCTGTGCGTGTAGGAAACAAATGGGTTTCCCCACAGGGAACAAAAAGGTCCAGTGTCTTTTTTTCCTTCTGGCTGAGAACCCATGGGTATCACCACCTTCTCTCCAAACTTTTAGGAATAGATTCTGTGACTGGTCAGGGGTAGGTATACTTGGTGCAAGACATTTCCTGGTCTCAAGACTTAGGGCTCTCCAGGCACCTGAAGAGCAGAGCCCTTTAGGAAAGGAGCGAATAGACAATACTCAGGGGGAGGCCTGCAGTCTCCCCCACCTGATCTTGGGCAACTGTTCCCCCCGACAAAAGGGCCAACTCGGACCTTGGTCCCGCAGCCTCCCCAGCAGTGGGAAGCCTGGAGCTGTGCAGCAGGGCCTGACTCAGCCCCAGGGAAAGGTGCTGGGGAGGGCTTCCTGTGGGCGTGGAGCTCTGAACCCCCAGCTTCAGCACAGGACAAGCTGACGGCCCACACTAGGATCACGGACCTGGGGGAACGTGGCCACCAGTTGTGTGCCCTGGAGGCTGAAACCTTTCCTGGGTATGAAAGTGTGTAAATAGGAAGGTCAGCCTCAGCCACGGAGAGAGGGCATGGAGAACCTGCTTAGGCTGCTTCCTCCACGTCCTCTGTTCTCAATCCCCAAGAGACCTCGGGGTTTAGATTGGAAGTAGGGAGCCTGGAAAGCAGAGTTCAAGGGTCAGACTGGACTTTGGTTGTGGGGTGGGAAGGGGATGGTATTACTTGCTAACAATGCAAATACTTGTGACTAGATTCCCTCCTAGAACCAAGAGGAGTATTGCAGACAAGTCACCTCTAATGTAGATGCTGTCCCAACCCACGGGAAAGCCTTTGGTAAAGAGAGGGCAGCCTGGGAAGCAGGGGGAGCAATCTGAAAGGCGGGAGACACTGCCTAACGCGTCAAGTCAGCCCTACTACAAGGGAACAGCTGTCCAAAGGAGTAGATATGAGGCAAAACAATGGGGCCAGGGTTGAGAGTCCCAGTGGCCCCCACCAGGAGAGCCCATCAGCAGAGTTTCAGAAATTCCTGGATCCAGCGAGTGACAGGAGCAGGGCTACTCCTCTGTAGCTGGGAGTATAATGCCCCCGATCACAGCTCCCCAGAATCCCTTGACCTTGGCGACGTCAGACAAGCCTCAGTGCACATGTCCAGGCAGTTGTTCTCAATGCTATTTGGTTCTTTGCTTCCTGGGAAGCACTGTCTTCCTCCCAAGAGAAAATCTTCCTCCCGCAGCTGCTGGGACCCGTCTCTGGAGGACAAGGAGCAGAAAGAGTCGGCTCCCTGAGTCGGGACATAGCCGGGTTGTGGCTGGGAGCAGATTATGGCTATTGCTTCCCGGGGTGAGAAACCCCATCCAAAGTTTTTGTGGGGAAAAAATTTTTTTTAAATAAAATCCTTAACCCTGTCTTCCCTTCCCCATTCCCTTCCCCCAATGACATTTCAAAAGAGGAGCAATGAGCCTAGAAACTCCAGTACAAAATCTGCCTTGTGGTGGCTACTCGCCACCCACAGTCCAGGGCTAGGCAGCTCCGTCTGGCCTGACAGGCTCCTTCGCTTCAGGTGGGCCCACTGGGGCGGCCCCCGCGGAGCTGGCGGGGGGCCCCGGGCCCTCCTGTCAGATGGCGCTCTCAGGGGAAGCTCTGTGCAGCGTGGCGTTGCGCTCGTTGAGCAGAGTTGTGGTCTCGTCCACCACAGGCAACTCAGGCTTCTCCGCCAGGTTCTCCGTGCAGATGGTGCACCCGTCCAAGGGAAACTGAGGGCTGGTCTCCATCCGTGAGGCCAGCAGCCCATTCTGGTACTGTTGGCGGGTGATCTGCAAGAGGAGCAGTGAGAGTCAGTAAGAGCAGGAGCTGGGAGGCCAGTCTCACCAGTGGCCTGGGGAAGCAGAGCCGGCAGGATGGAGGCTGCAAGTCCAGGTGCGAGGATGTGCCAGGGGGAGTCTCCGGAAACCTGTCACAAGAGTTAGCAGCTGGAGCAAGAAGGACTCTCACGTGGGCCCTGTGTTCCGGGTGGCGGGGGAAAGAAAGAGTTGCTGATTCCTGAGGCCAGACCGAGGCTAGGGAAGCACTCACCTTAATATACTGCAGGTCCATGAGCGCCCGGACACTGAAGTCGGAGATGTACTGGCCCAGGACGGAGCTGCCGAGCTGGTTGCTGCTGCCTGCCAAGGGGGCCGGGCTCGAGAGGTCTGTGCGGTCCGGGCAACTGAGGGAGGCCGAGCGGCTCAGGCAGGTGGGGTGCGATGGGGAGCGGTCTGTGGGGAGAAAGAGGCTGTCAGGCCACGACAGGCACCACCCTGGACTGCGGTGCCCTCCTGGCTAGCCCTGTCCCATGGATGCCAGGGGATGCTACCCCCACTGGGAATGGAAACACTTGTTAAGGACAGTCAGAAGCTTTAACCTCATCAAAGCAAACGAGTTAGTTTGTTTAGCAGTGTTGTGCAATAACTATTAAAAAGTCTAACAAAACAGAAAACAAAAACCAAAGACTCAAAAGTTTATGGGTACCAAACCCTAACAACTGATCGGTCCAGGTTGGTTACCCTCGTGTGGCGGCTGCTCTCATCTCAGTAACAGCTCATGTCAATGGACACAAACCGCATACCTTTAAATTATATTAAAAGAAAAATTACACAATTTGCACTCTCATCTCTCTCATACACACACCCCTCAACATGATACCTGCTCATAACTAAAAATGCTCTTAAGACGTCAAACATTTGTTCTGCACATGAGCTGTTCTGTGTGGACAGTCCCACCCACTGACTGCTGAGCCCCAGCCTGACCGGGGGCAGGGGGAGCATGTTCCTTCCCCAGGAACTAGAGGCCCCAGATCGCCAGGCTTCCCATCCCAGCTAGTGCCAGTCCCCTCCTGGGAGGCAAAGCCTGGCAGTGTTGGCAGTGCCTCCTCCCGCCACCAGGGCAGCTCAGGCCTCGTTCCATTGACTAACCAGGGGAGCGGGATGACTCAACCTCAAACGAGGAACACACTCCTTATTTTGAAAAAGAAACTGCACCCATTATTGTGCTCTTATTTTTTAAAATATTTATAAGGCAATGAAATCCACAAAGAAGTTCATTGTGAAGGCATGCTGGCTGGTTTCAAACAAACAGGAAATAGACTAAGCTGATACGCTTAGTTAAGGACTAAGTTACTAACTAACTACCGAGTTAGCCGTTCTAACAAATAGCTCAGTGAAGAGAGCAAACATCAGTGACTGAATGACCAATGGAGCTTTGAGCAAGTGAGGCTGCATCAGTAATGCACCGTCTTTGAGCTTCAGTCAGAAAACAAGGAAAATATAGTCTGGATATTCTACAATTGGGTAGTGTACGACTGTTAGAGCAGGGAGGGGGAAGCTTTTTCTGCCAAGGGCCATTTGAATATTTATAACATCATTCAAGGGCCATATAAAATTACCAACTTAAAAATTAGCCTGCTATATTAGCCTAAATACTTCATTAACTCACCCCTAATGCCTTGGCAGGGCCAGACCTAATGGTTTCACAGGACTTCTATGGCCCAAGGGTAGGACATTCCCCACCCCTGCATTAGAGGATCATGTGCATGTATCACTTATTCTAAACTAAGTAACACCTCGGATTAAGTTCTAGAAGAAAACAAATACTGGGGAGAGCAACCTTTCACATTAATGGGAGCATTTGAGATCTTGCTTCCTGGCAACTGTTATCAGTTTAGTTCAAATAAACTCTTACAAAAACTAAAAAAAAAACAAAAAACACACACAAAAAAACACTTCACATTAATTATTTGCTTTTAATTAATGCTTATCAACATGCCAGAACAGGAAATTAATTTAAAACCAACACAGATTGGTGACATGGCCTATTAAAAATAGAGGTCCTGCCCTAACTGGTTTGGCTCAGTGAATAGAGCATCGGCCTATGGACTGAAGGGTCCCAAGTTCGATTCTGGTCAAAGGCACATACCTTGGTTGCAGGCCTATCCCCAGTAGGGGGTGTCCAGGAGGCAGCTGATTGATGTTTCTCTCTCATCGATGTTTCTAACTCTCTATCCCTCTCCCTTCCTCTCTGTAAAAAATCAATAAAATATATTTAAAAAAAAATAAACACTATTGCCAAAACCGGTTTGGCTCAGTGGATAGAGCGTCGGCCTGCGGACTGAGAGATCCCGGGTTCGATTCCGGCCAGGGGCGTGTACCTGGGTTGCGGGCACATCCCCAGTGGGAGATGCGCAGGAGGCGGCTGATCGATGTTTCTCTCTCATCGATGTTTCTGGCTCTCTGTCTCTCTCCCTTCCTCTCTGTGGAAAATCAATAAAATATTTAAAAAATAAAATAAAATAAACACTATAGAGACTTATGAACTACCACGGTATCTATCTTCCAGATTTCCATATCCACTAAAAAAAAAAAAAAGAGGTCCTAAAGAAAAGTACAACAAAATATGAAGCATCTGCTTCTGAATAATGAAATTATAATGCTTATTAATTTTCTTTTTTTCCCCTATGAGCTATGTTACTTTTATGATTAAAACAAAGCAATATGTGTAACAAAAATGGAATTTTTTAATTTGGTAATTCTACTTCTAAAAGAATATTCTAAGGATATAATCTCAAACACAGGTGACATTTTTCATAGAGGTTTACGTCATGGTATTATTTAGCATATAGACCCCCATGAATATGGATAAAGGGAGTAACAAATGAAGGCACACCTGCCTGGTGAACTCTGTGTAGCTCTAACAAGAAAGCTTATGGAAAAGTATCTCTGCTCCCATATTACATAAGAACATCAGGATTCAAACCCCGTATGCACAACTCCTGGCCACATGTGAAACAAGAAAGTGCAAAAGAGGCAGAGGGAGGCTGGCCAGTGAAGGCCAAACGGCCCATCTGCTCTCATCAGACACCCCCTGCTCAGAGCCATTACCGGCGTCCTGCTTCCCGTCACAGCCAAACGTTTGTCGTGTTCGAAAGGGACCAGTGACTTCTCAGTCACCTTCAACATTTTTTAGAAGAGGATCAATAGTAAAGTGTGCTTTGGTGCAGTTTAGAAGAAAAAACCGGATGCAGGAATATAAAGTGGGAAACAGCTGCCTGCAGTGCTAGGCTTTCTGGCCGGTGGAGGCTCAGGAGCTGCTCTAGGTTACGCACTGAGCCCCGAGCTCGGAACTTCCTCAGGGCTCACCGGGCCGGGCCAGGGCTCTGGTGACAAGGCCAGCACCTCCCGCCACCATCTGCTGCCTTGGATCATGGGGGACAGGGATGCTGCCAGTGAGTAGGAATCAGTCTAGACAGCACGCGCGTGCGTGCACACACCTCCTCAAAAGCTGAAGAACCTTCAGGAACCTCTTCCAGGGCCAGGGCAAAGCCATCCAGTAACTGAGCTCTAGGCCAAGCTGGCTCTCAAGTGTGAACAGGTGGGGAGCCCCAGTGCCTACTGGGACAGGTTAATGCAGCTGTGGTGTGTGGGCTCAGGCGACAGGTGGCAGTGCAATATTCTCCGCCATGCCATGTTACCTGAGAGCCAGGAGAGCAGGGAGTTCTGCTTGCCAGGCGGACACCCGACCTGGGATGAAGGCACTGGAGCAAAAGAGGAAAAGGTCAGTGCTGGGTGAGGTCCAGGTCAGGAGGCAGGACATGGAGCCACAGGAATGGGCTGGAGAAGCAGACCTGTGTCCAGGCTCCCCTGGGCAGTGAGGGGCTCAGTGGGAAAGGAGACACGGCTTTGACAGGGAGGAGCTGGGCAGACTCACGAGCCCTGCTCAGAGAAGGGCAGGTGCTGGCAGAGGCGCCCAGAGCTTCCACAGTGGATACAGAGCCCAGAAGACATCCCTTCCCCTTCCGGCCACTCCAATGGGAACTGAGAGCCTCCAGGCCAAGGGACAGAGCACAGGACCATGACCCAGGCCCCTGAGGTGCCAGGGGCAGAGAGTGCCTGGAGGAAATGTCCCATGACTGAATATCCTTCTCAACAAGATTTCCCCAGGCTGGACGCTGAGCAGTCCTCCCTGGGCCGCCAGTCTGAAACCCGGGTCCAAAGCCTGGCTCCTCCTCTCCCCTCCCCTCTCTCACAGGCCGGCTTGTGCTGGTGGGGGCAGAGCTGTGTCAATAGCCATGGATGCCCTGCCCCCCACGGGGTCCTCTTTGTCAACAACAGGCACAGCCGAGGCTCCCAGAAGCTACGGCACCTGCCTCATCTGTGGCCTGTCCCCCGGCACCAAAGTGGACTCCACTCTCCAGCCCACAGCCACCCAGGCCCCTCTCGTGGTTGGGGTGTGTGTCCCACGATGAGTGAGGAGCTGTGCTGGCCCCTTTGGCAAGGGGCACCTGAGCTACCCAGGACTGGGGAAGCAGAGGGCACTGCGGTGGCCAGAGAGGTCCTTCCTTGGTCTTTCCATAACCTCTCTTGGAGGTTGTCCAGTACCCTCTTTGCCCCAAGTCCCTTTATTCCATCACAACCAACCCTTAACCAAGAGGCAGTGGCTAAGCCATGAGAAACCAAACCTGCCTGTAACCTGCCCTGGCCTGGCTCCCAACTTCAGGCACTTTGGACGCTTTCACCCAATCCCTTGGTTGCCCTCTCCCAGGCTTCATAGGCAAGACCCACAGCCTCCCTCCACATGCCCACTCTCTCAACTCCCCGCCTGCCATGATGGCTCGTAAGGGTCACCATGGCCCGTGGGCCCACTGGCCCATTCTACTCTCAAAGGCCATCGACAGCTTCCTGCTTCCTATCACAGCCATACACCATCGACTTTCTGGGGCTCCCCGACTCATCCTTACTCCCAGTCTTCCTCCCCTCTGGCAGGCAGGCCGCCCCACCACCTCAGGACACACTCTCGGCTCCCTCCAGGCTTTTGCTCAGAATCCCACCCACCCCACTCCATCCTCTGAATCATTGCTCTTCCAGGCCACCTTTTCTAGGCCCAGACCTCACAGGTCTCCCTCTCCTCGAAACACCCAAGTTAGGAGCCATCTCAATGCCAAGGAGCTGGGGGCCACTCACTGCTGCTCCCACTCCAGCCGCTGGAGTGCAGCCAGTGCAGCCCAGCCACTCACCAGCGGTTAGCGAGGACAGCGCCATGGTCCCGTAGTAGGAGAAGGCACCTGTCTCAAACTTCATGTTCTCCTTCCCAGCCTCCACCTCCACCTTCCCCTGAAAGAACACAGGGTTAGGGTTATAGAGTGAAAAGCAAAAAACAACAACAAAAAGATGAGGCAAGAGGGAGACATGAGGGCCGAAACCGGTTTGGCTCAGTGGATAGAGCGTTGGCCTGCGGACTGGGAGGTCCCGGGTTCGATTCCGGTCAAGGGCATGTACCTGGGTTGCGGACACATCCCCGGTGGGGGATGTGCAGGAGGCAGCTGATCGATGTTTCTCTCTCATCGATGTTTCTAACTCTCTCTATTTCTCTCCCTTCCTCTCTGCGAAAAATCAATAAAATATATTTTAAAAAAAAAAAAGAGGGAGACATGAGGGGTGATGGCACCGTGAGCTGCTCGGAAGAGGATGGGTGATGGGGAGCCCAGGCCCAGAGCAGGCTGCATAGTCTCGGGGCAGGAAAGCCCTGCAGCCCACATTTCCCAGTGAGGCAGCAGGTGTGGGCAGGCTCACCTGCAGGATGAGGATGAAGTAGTCGGCCGGCTTGTTCCGGGTGTACAGATAGTGGTGCACATAGTATTTGTTGTGCTCGTCAAACTTGAGTTCCTGAATGACGTCTGGGTACTTGAGCAGCCGAAGCAGGATCTTCTCTGATATCAGAGCAGGGCTGAACTGGGGGACTTCTGCAAGGGAGAGGGGGACTGCACATGAGACCTGCCACTGCAGTACAGGGACAGCTCCCTCACTGCCAGGCTCTTCCCTTCGGTTCCACCCTGGTCAGACTGGAGTCTGTTGGCCTTGAATGGTAGCTCCTGCACTACCCGGGCATGATCTTGGACAATTACTTAACCTGCATATCAGTTTGCTCATCTGTAAAATGGGGGTTAAAAACTTCAGAGTGGTTGTGAGGTTAAACAGAACAATACATGTAAAGCACTTAGACATATCCTTGGCACAAGGAAAGTGCTTGATGACTGTTATCATCATCGATATCATCCATACCCTGGCAGAAAAAATAAAGGAGAAGGAATTACTGAAGTCTGACTGGGATAGGGGGAGGGAGTAGGCAGGTGTCTTTCTAATCCATCGCCCAGGCCCCCAAGGGAGCTGTGAATCAGGGGTGAGAAGAAATATGACATTGATTTACAGGTCAAGTCCGGTACATGAGGCAGAGGGGAGGCGGGAGAGACAAGGACAGAGCTAGATGCAGGCTCCTCAGAGGTGATGAGCCAGGCAAGGGCCGCGCGCTGTACCTGGGCAGGCCCACAGCACATGCAGGAGCCTCCTTCTCCCTCCCACTCCACAGCCTCGATGGGCCTGTCTCAGGTTCTCCTGAGGCTTATTTTCAAAACGAACTTGGTACTTTCTAGAAGTCTGCAAATCACAGGGCATGTCCAGGTGGGAGCTGCCTCGCCCCTCCAGAGGCAGCGGGGTTTCCCTGCACCTTGCATCCGTGTGGCCTCATCCCAGGAGGGGAGTAGCCAGAGGCCCCGTCCTTCTCCCGCTGTGACCGTCCCACCAACAGTGAAGGCCATCCTCTCGCTCTTACCCGTGGACAGAAAGCGGTGAGCAGCCAGGAGGAGCTGAGGTGAAATTTTCACCTTGAGCTCATTGTCAGTATCCTTGAAGGCTGAGAAGTCCCGTTTGTTCTTCTCAGATACCCGTTTCCGGCTTCGGTTGTCAGCTGCGAGAGAATGAACTGGAGCTGAGCACGCTGTCCCCACAGTGGACTCGGGAACAGACTGGACCCTGCCCACCAGCTGCCGGCTCTGCCGCCCCTCCCTCCACACGGAACCTGCAGTGCCTGGGCCGGGGCAAGTCCCCGGGCTCATGCTGAGCCACAGAAGCCAAGAGGAGCCAGCAGCCTCCAGTCCCTGCTCCAAGCAGTACGCTCCCAGGTCGTGCGGGCCTGTGTCCCTGCATGGTGGCCTCCCCATCAGGCCAGCAGACGCCAGGCCTGAGCGGGAAAGGGACACTGGGCCTGTGGGGGTGGACTCACTGTACATATCGGACTCGTCCAGGATCTCGGACTTGATGATCTCCTCAATGACGTCCTCCAGGGTGACCAGGCCCAGGACCTCGTAGAAGGGGTCCCCTTCCCCCTCGTTGTTCACCTTCTGCACGATGGCCAGGTGGGACTTCCCTGGGGGACAACGCAATGAGTCAGACCAGAGCAAAGGGACCAATCATGAGACTCCTCCACCAAAATGTTAACACACCTGAGTCACTGGGGTGGGGTCAGGGGTAGTTTTTTCCCCTTTTCTATATTTCCTGGAGTTTCTATTGCAAACAGATACTGCTTTTATGAAAAGGAAAACCAGAAGTATTTTTTTACCCACAAGGCATTACGGACCATTGGCTTAAATAGAATGAAAAGGGCAAGGCCCTCCTGGGGAGGGGAAGACCCACACTGACAACTCGTGGACAGAGAAGCCATATGTCATAGGCAGGCAAGTGCCAGCTGGGCACGGGCTCAGAGGATGCCCACCTTCCCTGGCTTCAAGGGCCATTCACAATACCTCCCCCAGCTCCTTGGCAGAGCCCTCCCCCCCCAAGTAACCTGGGGCCAACACTGTCCAAGGCAAAGGCTCTGCATTCCCAAAACCAGGGGTCCTCAAACTACAGCCTGCGGGCCACATGCAAATACAAATATTGTATTTGTTCCCGTTTTGTTTTTTTACTTCAAAATAAGATATGTGCAGTGTGCATAGGAATTTGTTCATAGTTTTTTTTTTAAACTATAGTCCGGCCCTCCAACGGTCTGAGGGACAGTGAACCGGCCCCCTGTTGAAAAAGTTTGAGGACCCCTGCCCAAAACCATTAACAAATTAGTAGCCCAGTATAATTAGGCCAGGCAGGCACTGTAATTAGAGAAAGGCCACCCTTTCGACCTAAAGCAAGAGAAAGATAGAAAGGGGTTGGGGGGAAACTTTCCACAGAAGCTTTGTGGGTGGCTGAGTGCCCTCCTGGTCCCCCCCCCCCGACTCTTGTGCCCCAGAACCCAGTGTGTGACAACAGGAGACCCGGCCCACACTCCGGGGTGAACAAGGTGTGCCCCACACAGGGGGACACAGATTTGCAGCAGCCTCAGGGAGAAAGCCCTGGGAGAGCTGTGAAGGTCAAGTCAGATTTGTCACAGATTCCCCTTTACAATCCGGTCTGAGGGCCTCACTCTCAGGACGTCCCTGTCGACCAGGTTCTCCAGATCCTGAGGCCACAGCAAACCCACCAGGCCCAGCATGCGCCCTTCAGAGCTCCTGGGGGCCTCTTAGGGAGAAGAGATGCCAGTCCTCACAGCCAGCATTTGGAAAAACAAATGGAAAGTGCCTGAGGGCACCCGTGTGAAGGGGGAGTGCTGTCCTGTGAAACATCCTCGCACACAGTGCTGGTCACACGGTACCGACCTCCAGCTTGGAGTTGTGGTCAAAACACTTCCAGGACCTTGCTGGACAGACCACGGCTAGACTCAGCTAAAGATTCCCGTCTTCTAGCGATGAGCCAGCGAGAGCAAGTGACCTGCCAGGGCCCGAGCCTGGCCTCCCCACCTGCCAGAGGCGGCCCTGAGGAGAGCCCTCTAGAGAAAGAGTGCTGAGGGCCAGTGCAGCCAGCTTAGCCCAGGTCCTCCGACGGGAACCAGAGTGCAAGCAGGCAGCTTCTATCACCTTCCCGACCGGCATGCTCTAGTGGCTGTGTTGCCCAGTGCTGCGGGAGACAGGCAGGCCCTCACAGGGCTCTGGTTGGTGGGCAGGAAAACAGGCACATTTCAGGAGGCCGATTTGGCAGCAGGTCTCAAAACCAAGGGTCCCTAACCTTGGCCTCAGAAATTCCACTTGTAGGAACTTACCCTATGGATGTAATCTTCACTAAAGCAGAAAGACACAAAAGCAAAGGGGTCATCAAAACTTTTTTTTTCACAGCCTCAAACCAGAGACCATCTGAATCAATTGCAATGGAGCAGGAGTGCGGGACAGGGGCTACTGCTGCCTGGGGAGAGGCAGCAGGGCCTGAGGGACGAAATGTGGAACGAAACCTGAGACAGGCCATTAGTGGAAAAGCAAGTGATAGATAGGACTGAATGCATGGTGCCATCTGCCTGCATGGAAATGGGGGTGAAGGGTGGAGAGGGCCTTGAACTGTCTGGAAGAGGTAACAGTGGTCATCTTTGGGGGCTTTTGAAGTTGGGGGGGCTAGTTTCACTCTATTCACTTCCATATTCTATTTGATGGGCATGTTTCACTTCCATATATATTTTTTTCTATCTATATTTTTTTTGACAAAAATATTAAGGAGAGCCTGGCTGGTGGGGCTCAGTGATTGAGTGTTGACCTATGAACCAGGAGCTCACAGTTCAATTCCTGGTCAGGGCACATACCCAGGTTGCGGGCTCCATCCCCAGCCGATCAATGATTCTCTCTTATCATTGGTGTTTCTATCCCTCTCTCCCTCTCCCTTCCTCTCTGAAATAGATAAAAATATGTTTTAAAAAATATTAAGGAGAAACACAAAATTAAGGGGAACTGGTAAGAGTCTAGGGTGAGCAAGGCATTGCGGCACAAGGAGCCCAGGAATGGGGTGAGTCTCTGAATGCTGCCCAGTTAGCAGCACCTGCTTATACCCTAGGAATCAGAAACCAGCAGATTCAGCATCAATAATCGGAGAAAATGTCCCCCCACTGAAACCTCCAATCAACCCATGATCAAGGGTTGCACTAGGCTTCACCGGGAAAGGCTGGTGGTTCCTCTAAAAGACAGAAATATCCTCCTGTGGGTGAAATGCATGGATTTCTTGTGCTGGATTGGGGGCCACTCTTTGCCTCCCTGCCTGCTTTCAGAGGCTCCTGTCTGTGGAACCCACTGGTGTGTGTGGCACCCTCTAGTGGCAGCACCATCAAGACGAGTACCTTGCAGATGTGCTGGCCTGGGGCACTGCCCACTCACCCCTTCTCTGCATGCTAAAGAGCCTGGCGCACTGGCGCTGACTGTGGCCGGCTGGTTGCGGCCCCACACAAAGGGCTAGTCAGTCACCCGCTGCTGACCCGGCCTGGGACTCTGGGCTGTGTCTGCCTTTTCTAATTTGTCTGCCCTTCCCAAAGTCAGCAATGCCTGCAGTGGTGGGGGTCTCAAGCTCAGGCTGCAGTCTCTGACGAGGGGCCGCTCTCCCTCCTCCAGCAAGCTCCTGGTGTTCTGACCTCAGGCCGTCCCTGTCCTCTTGATTCAGGAGGGCACCTGGTCCCTTGCCTTGTGAGTTTAAATAAAAACTATATGTTAAGGTGTCTCAAATAAATACTTGCAACCCAGGCCTCTTCTGTGCCCTCCAGACTCCTACTGCTTGCTGATAGCTAGAGCCAAGTGGATGTCTAACACCTAGGATTTACTATCAAAACCAAGCCCCTGCTCTTCCTCCCATCTCCCTCTCTCCAATTGATCAGCATGGAGAGAAAAAACTCTGCCTCCTCTATTTCTCTACCCTTCTACATCCAACCCTTTCAGCAGACCTATCAGCTCTGCTTACAAGAGCCTCCTCCGGCAGCCTGCACTGCCGCTGTTCCATTCTGGGCCACAGGCATCTCCTTCTCACCCGGAGGGTGGGAACAGCCTCTCACCATCTCCCTGCTTCACCCTGAACCCGAGTCCACCCTCAACACAGAACCAAGGGGGCCCCTTACAGGGAAGTCAGGTTGTCTTACACCTTACTCCACACAGAAGCCACATTCCTCCGTGGCCAGGTCCCAGACACCCCTCATGCTGACCCCTAACCCATCTCCTACTCCGCTCTCCTGTGCTCTGGTCAGTCTCAGCCTCCTTGTTGTCCCTCAAACATCTAAGGCTGCTCCCTTAATCTGGCTGTCCCTCCCCTTCACATCTGCTTAGCTCGCCCCACCTTTATGTCTCTGTTCAAATGTCACCCTTCTGGTGAGGGCCTCACTGACAGCGACCCCTCCTCTAGCACCCCAAGCTGGTCATCAGTTTATTACCTGAAATAAATGATATAACATGCTTACTCACTTTACTTATGGTTTATAGCTCCTCTCCTCTTACTAACTGCGAGTCCATTATAGCAGGGCTTCAGTCTGTATTCCCCAAACATAGAAGTCTGTTCAGTAAGTGTTCAGTGAATGTTTATGGGGAATGAGTTTGTTCACACAGGGAGGCTAGCAGCAAAAGGATTATTTGAATTTTAGTAATTAAGAAGTTTCTATAATTCAAAATTACTGTTAACTCATTTACCATCTATATATATATATAAAAGCCTAAGCGACCATTACGACCGGTCATTCGGTCAACAGATCACTATAACGTGCACTGACCACCAGGGGGAAGATGCTCAATGCAGGAACCGCCCAAGATGCTCAGCAGGAACCGCCCCCTGGTGGTCAGTGCGCTCCCACAGCCAACCTCCCACGGTCCCTCCCCCTGGCCAGTTAGGTGGTCAGTGTGCTCTCACAGCCAACCTCCCACGGTCCCTCCCCCTGGCCAGTTAGGTGGTCAGTGTGCTTTCACAGCCAACTTCTCACGGTCCCTCCCCGCAACCAGCCACCCTAATCAGTTGGCCAACCTCCCGCAGTCCCTTCTCCCGGACTGGGCTAGACGGCCCTGATCGCCGGCCAAGCTGAGGGACCCCGCCCGTGCACGCTTTCGTGTACCAGGCCTCTAGTTTAAAATGAGAGGATCAACTTAGGACTTACATGTTTATGATTTTCATTGTATGGAATTCAAATCTAACATAGAATTTTATTTTAATGAGTCTCCTCATCTTATTAGAGTTTCCATTCAACTGGATAACTGGATTTTGGAGGTAGCTGGGATGAGAAAGTAAACATGAAAATTTAAATAATACATCTACCCCAAAAGCTGAGAATCCCACATTTTTTAAAGCAGTCTTTATTTAAAAAAAAAAAAAAAAGACTGAAGAAATATACCTCAATGTTCATATTTGGCTGACCCATAAAAAACTGCTGACAGTTGACAAAATAAGAATCATATGATTTGGCCGAAACCGGTTTAGCTCAGTGGATAGAGCGTCGGCCTGCGGACTGAGGAGTCCCAGGTTCGATTCCGGTCAAGGGCATGTACCTGGGTTGCGGGCACATCCCCAGTGGGAGATGTGCAGGAGGCGGCTGATCGATGTTTCTCTCCCATCGAT